AACAATGTACACAATAATATAAATGCTCAATAAGGCCTACGCGCGATACATCTACACTGGCTAATGTATGTACTCTAATTGTGAGAACACTTACTAAACAATGCTGCCATAATGCATACAACGTATACAATAAAATATACATCCAATTAGTCCTGCGCGCCTTTACATGTACACACTGTTAACGCTGTTTATGCTGTTTTGTTTACATAGTAAAATGCTGCCGCTATGCACACAACGTATACAATAATGATTAGTACTGTTTAGCCTATGAACAAAAACTCGCGTATCGCGCACAGTGGCAGCATTCTATATGAAATCATGTTTTAATCATACTTACAATTAACTTATTTTATTGAAAACTTCTAAATATTTAAAACTTTTTACTTTAGACACATATCTGAAATTTTTTTTAGCTGGTGTTTGTTGTTGATTTTTAAATAATTATTTAACCCTACATTCATAAAAATGCTGCCACGATGCAGGTTAAGGGTTAAACAAATTTAAAATCTGCAACTTTTAATTATATTTAATCCAATAATTAACTATTTGTCAAATACTTTTGACTGGCTTGAAATATGGCACGTTATGCAAATTTGCTGATATTAATTGATGAGTAATTGTTTAAATCTAATTGAGACCTTAATTCACTAACACCTTAAACGTAGTTTTTATTGACAATTCAAAAATTTTTATATTTCAATTGATTAGATGTAAAAATTAAATTAACAAATTGTGTTCTCCAATAATTTTCATTTTCAGTTAATTCTGAGTTATAGTGTAAGTATTTATAGTGAAACGTATCACTATTCCGATACTATATCTTGCGATCAATTGAAACAATTGGCTATTAATTGCCCGAAACTCAGGAGACTATCACTTGATATGCAATACGAATCAAACGAATACTTTTCTAAAATGATTCAAACAATTAATGATTGTTTCAATCATTTAAAGCGTTTAAAAATCGCTTTTGACAACAAATTTGTATTAATGAGTGAATCGTTGAATAAATGCAAACAATTAACACATTTATTGATTGATAGGATTTCTATAAATGAAGATTTTATTACAAATATTGCCATTGATTTTCCGAAACTTCAATTTTTAAGCATTGATTGTTATAAAATGACAGCAAATATATCGAATTCGTTGTCATTATTGCCTAAAATACAGACCATTAGACTCTCTCGTGTTAAAGACGTCAATGAGATTACTCTCAAACCTCTCAACGATTGGAAATCACCCAAAATTGTTAGCCTTTATATTAATGGCGAAAATGTGTTGAATACAAGTGATGACAACTTTTCAGACACCGAATCTATTGACACAATCACTTCAGACAACGACTCTTCGGACACCGATTGAGTCGTTAGACTCTTAACCACTCAATGGTAGCGAAGACTTCACACAAACGGTTTCCAAGATTTTCATTTGAAATTTATTTATTTTTCACTTATAATTATTTTAATTTCTAATAAGTATTTCAATTATTATAACAAAATGATTGTTAACTTAATTTGCATTTTTAAGTAATGTTAAACTGAATCAATAATTTTATGTTAATTTATTGACAATAAATTATTGTTTATAATTAATGTCTTTTAAGTATTGATTATATATTTATCAAATTTAATAATAATTAAAATTTTTATTAAATAAATATCTGTTTTAAAAGTGATTTGAATTGTTTTCATAAAAGTTTTGTTTGACTTATAATTAGTGTTGAAAATAGTGTCCAAAAGAGAGCGTCGTTTGTATTGAAAACTGTGGTCTCAATTGTATTCACTCATTCGCCAAGTGATGGATATATGCGGCCAACACTTTAGTGCCTGAGATATAGTTCTTGCGGTCAATCTTCTCATTCTGTGAGTGCGCGCAGTCATCACAACCGCCTATTGGGGGGACAGGGGTTGGGGTTAGGGTTGAGTTCATTGCAATCACATATAGTATTACCGATTGGCAACAGAAGGACACTCTTTCCGGTCACCTCTTCGAAGGTTAGGGCGACTGGTATTGAACCGCCCTCTCGGGTCAGATCGGGATCCGCGCCAAACACTGTCCACACAAACAAACAAAACAATGAATTTAATAATAGTTTAGTTTTTGTTTAAATAACTAAAACACTGATTACCGGATCGAACGGCGAGTTTAGCGGCCGTGAAGTTCTGGTTGCGAGTGTCTGCGACCCACGCCTTATTGGGTTTACCGCTGATGACAGACAAGCGGTTCGGCGAATCGAGTTTCGCAAACTCTGCGGTCAAAT